TTGTGTTTTTCTCATAACGCATATCCTCTAATACACTTAGAGGGGGCAACCCCTCAACCCCTTCCAAATCTTTCAACGCAATCAAACTGTCTAGCATGTCATCCGTGATTCCTGATGCAGCAATAAGGTCTCCAAATGCTCGATTAGGACCTGCAGTTGACATATTAAATGAATAAGATAATTGATACAAATATGTGAAACTATTACAGAAACGCATTCATGACCCAAAATTCCAAACTTCAACAAATTCATCTAACTAATTAAACAAAAAGGATAGGTTCTTTTTTTTTTTTTTTTTTTTTTTTTTGGACAAGAAACATAAAAATATATTCAACAAAAGAACCAAAGAACAATCTAAGGGCAAGGGATTGATATTATCCCTCCCAAAACTAATTAAGGAGAGTCTCTCAGTTGTTAATAATCATCAAAAGGCTATAATTACAAAAGAATTTGACGTGCTTTGTGCACCACCAAGAAGCAATGTGCTGACCAAAAGCCAAAAGGAATCAAAGGAAGAGCACTTATCTTCAAAAACCCTGCTATTTCTTTCCTTCCAAAGACACCAAAGAAGGGAGCGAGTTGCACATCTCCAAAGGATCTTCCCTCCTTCCGCAAAAACTCTTCCCATCAAGCCCTTCTAAAAGTCAACCATCTATCTTCTTGGGGACAAACCAACAGAGAAGAAAAATGTGATCTAAGGACTCCTCCTATATGTAGAGACAACAAACTGAGGGAGACATCATCCGATTTAGAAGTTTTTTTTTTTTTTTTTTTTTTTTTTAAGCTTATTGTGGGTATATAAAGTTTTGTAGGCTAGGGACCATAAAAAGAACTTTCACCTTCTTAGGAATTTTGAGTTTCCATATTATGATAATACAATTTCCTCATCCCATTAGTCATCTTCAAGAATGTGGACTTCGTTGAAAAACTGCCCAAATGATCTGTCTTTCACACCATCTATCCAGATCATTACCCACCACCAGAGTATTTAGAAACTGAACAAGGTTGATTGAGGAGGGTCTAATAACTCTTATTGTATTTGGCTTAATGCTCTTTACCTCACCTGGAGGAATTTTAGAGTGACCCCATCTATTTAGCCCGAGAATTTTCCAAGCTCATGGTATTCATTGCTGAAGGTGATCCATGTGAGCTTGTGTTATTCTTCATTTGAAGATTTTTGTGCTTGGATTAGTTTTTTTGCAGCTGACACCTGACCATTTTCAACCTCAAGGGAGGTAATGGTGTTCTTATTACTACACAAGCTTGCAAGTCAATGAAAGAAAGAGTTTGTGAAAGAAAGAGGTGAGAAGTCACCCTCCCTTAACCTTTCTCACTTCGGCTGTTTGTCTCAAACACGCACCATTACCTGTTTTCATGAAGAAAACTTAACAACTGTATCTTTTAGCTTCAAAATGATACATCAAGGACTTCTACATACCATCTAAAATCCTCTTTCTAGAAGCACATTTGCCACCACCTTATGCCACATTATCCCACTGTTTTCCCCCCTTTCTTTTGTATAAATAACAGAGATATATAAATGAGGGAAGCATTGAACACAACCTAAGACAAGGGGTTGAGAAAACCCCTCCTCCCAAAAACTATGAAATAATGGCTTCCCAATCCCAAAGGATCACAAATGAGTAGTTACAAAAGAGTTCCTGTGACTATAATACCATCAAGCAGAGGTGAGTTGTACTATTATAGACAGAATCAGAAAGAACCTCCTTATCTTCAAAAGTTGGAACAGATCTCCCCTGTCAAAGACCCTAACAAAAGCGCTAACAGCATAGTTCCATAAAATCTTAGCAATGGCTTTAAAACTCCAAGCTGTGATTATCTAAAAGCCAATCGTCCACATGATTTTACAGTAACCCTCCAAAGTCATTTGGTTAAATGGGCTTCATTCTTCTACTTTAGGTTTCCAATACATCTACAAATCTAGAAATCTGATAACCTTGTGCTTGCAAAAATAAAGAGGGGCGGGTGCATAGCAGCTAAAATACATCACAGAAGAGTAACGACAGTAACCAATAAAATTCAACTTTTTTAACTTACCTACAAATGACATCGTTTAAACCACTACACAGGAAAAATGCAAAAGTTCAATGGCCTCAACCATATACTTATGCCGTTCTCAATATAAACGCAAAAGCTACGAGTAAGAACACTGTTATGAATTGCCTCGATCAGGACAACCATAGAATCAAATGATCTGGAATACACCAACATATCACGAAATTGAATCCTCAAGCAATACATACATGCCACAGAATTAGAAACCCAAGCAAATCCATTAAGTTGTTGAACTTGAAATACAATCTTCCCAATCAAGGGGGAGAAAAACTTGCCTTTAAGGATGGCAGTGAGTTCCTGCTCCTCCTTTTCGAGCTTCCTAGCATCCTCACTGCTCTCACTATCCACTTCCTTAATCTCATCTCTGGGTTTCCCAATTTCAACTGCATCCTCCTGAATGTTGAAGACATCACTCTTTTCTTCCTCTACCAGGCTCCACGGCTCGAACTTTGTCGCCGCAACCCATTCATTAGCACCATCGTCATCTTTATTTCCTCGAATTTCCTTCTCCACTCTCGCAAAAATGTCTCCCGCAGCACCCTGATCCCCGTCTTCCGACCTCACCCATGAATCGGCATTGGCCGGAGCAGAGTCATCCTCCGCTATACCATCAAGGTTGTCAGCTTCCTGAGTGAACAATTGGTCGAAATTTTCGTCGCTTTCCCGTGAAAGTTTCCAGACATTACTCGTCGGTTGGTCTCTGCTTCCACCGTTCTTATTGTTATTACTTCCATTGTTACTGGAGGAGAAGAATCGGGGAAGAAGATGAAATCTAGGAGATTGAGCTGGGGGCTTAGTGGAAATCAAGGTTAGCAATCTGAAATGGGAGGGTTTAGGAAGTAAACGAGAAAGCATAGTGAAACAAAGAAGGCTTTCGTAAGGTGAGGGAGACTACTAGCCAGCACGGGCAGATCTAAACAGCGGCAAACGAGAGAGAATCAACGAGCAACGACGGCGAGCAGCGGCTACAGAGGCGGCTCTGCAAATTCAGCGGTAGCATGAACCCTGGTGTGACGAGAGACCGGCATTGAGGGTTTTTGCGTGGTAATACCATTTTTTTCTTTTTTTTCTTTTTTTCTTTTTTAAATATTAATTATATGAATTAATGTTTCTAAATAAAAATAGTATTTTTGATGAAATTAATCTAAATAATGTGAATAAAATAAGAAATTATAATCGGCGGAAATGGGTCAGCTGCATCATTCTGTTGTCGATTTGAGAGTTTTCATATCGGTTACAGAGGAGAACGAAAAATTCCTGATAAAGGTGTAAAAACTTCTCTCTACTAGACGCGTTTTAACACCGTAAAGTTGACAGCGATATGTAACCGGCCAAAGTGGACAATATTTGCTAGCAGTGGGCTTGGGCTGTTACAAATAGTATCAAAGCTAGACACGGGGCGATGTGCCAACAAGAACTCTAGCCCCAAATGGGGTGGATTGTGAGGACTCCCTCGGTTGGAAAGGAAAATAAAACAATTTTATAAAGATGTGGTTAAAATCATGAGGTTGACGACGATACGTAATGGGCCAAAGCATACAATATCTAGCGGTGGACTCAGACGGTTAGACGATCACTTTGACTTGATACATTTTCTGTCTAAACTCCTAGCGAGTGCACGTGCAAAACTAAATCTTATTACACACTATAGGAGGTTCATGACCTACATGAAGCCATATAATATTTTCAGCTTGTTGTCGTCGGCATCTATGACGAGGGCGTCACCTATCAGTGAAAATAATTTTTAGTATTCGAGTTTGTTGAATGATATCAATTGTAGTTACGATGCATCATCACGCATTTAACCTAAATGTGGGAAATCTTTCTCCATTGAGAATTTTTATACGTCTCGAACAAAGTTATTATAATACAGGCGTACCTATAAATAAGATTTAATAATAAGAAAATTAGGTACGATAGCCATTACCATGAGTGATATACCTCAATATGATTAAGTCGTGTCAGTATATGTAGTCATCTGATGGAGTTGACCTAAAAAGTCCTTACAGACTTGTTTTGATTTATACGGTAACAATTCATATACGCATTTTCTATCTACAATATTATCTTATGATGTAACAATACACTCTCGGCCGAGCACGGGAAATCTGTACGTTCCAAACCTCTAACGCTTTACTGAAGCAATAATAAAGTGTCAGCTTAGTTCAATTAACCCTAATTGGTATGTTGTAAATAAGGTACGATTCCGTGGATCTAAACAACTACCATGATTTATTACTGTCTCCATTCTCCGACACCGTAACATACCTTTTGACCAAATAATCTCTTATAATTTCGACCTCTCCCAAAAGGAGATATGCCCACGATTTCGATTTGCTTCCTACCGTCCATAACAAGCATCTCTTGTGGGTCATTGCTCGTCACAGAATTAACACACCAGAGTTAGTTCTGTCCAATCACTATTGTAAATTTGGATTCGTTGAAGGTCAATAGGGTTTGCTAAACAACGAATCACGTCACCGTTGTAGATGTTCACGTCAACATCGTAGAGGTTCGCATCGCTGACGTCATGGAGGTGGGTCGTAGATGAAAAAGATTTATATCAAATATATATTTAAAAATAACTAAACATTTCTATTTCTTAAAGATAAATAATAATGATTTTAGGAAAATCTCATATTAGTATTTAATAAATTTTAATTTCAATTAACATTTAATTTATTCAGCTTCTAAATTATCCGTTTCAAATGGCTAGGATCCAAATTTCACGTGGCAATAACAAACCAAAACTCCACCACGTGTCTCAAGTAACCAACCAAAAACCACCACGTGTAGACTGTGACCCGTCGAATCCTCTCAGACTGCCACGTGTCCACTATCCCCACCACACCCCTCAAACTCCCATCCCCATTTCCTTCCTTTCTCTCCACCTTTCTTCCTCACTTCACTTTTTCTTAGGAAAAAAATGTCCGGCGGAGTGGGGCCCACATGCAGCGACATAAGCCTCCCAACGGAGCAAGAAATCCTTCACAAAGAATCATGCGATCCAAAGCAGCAGCAGCAGCAGCAGGAGGGAATCAAATCACCTGGCGGCGTTGGGCGGAAGAGGGCGGCGGCGGCGGCGGCGTTTCTGAGTTTCCAGCAACTGAACGCGCTTGCGGTGGTGGTGATATTCTCAGCCAGTGGGATGGTGTGCGCTGAAGACTTGGCGTTTGTGGTATTTTCTATGATGTATATGTACTTCATTTCCAGAGTGGCGTTTCCGCCGCTGGCCGGCGCCGGAGAACCGACGGTGTTCAGCCAGGAGAATAGGCTGCTCCGCTTGTATGGATTCTTCACCATCGTTGTGGGATTCTTCCTCCCTATAGCCTACATTCTGGAGGGCTTCTTTGAAGAAGATAAAGAAGGCATCAAAGCCGCTTCTCCCCATGTCTTTCTTCTTGCTAGCCAGGTTTAGCATCTTCAAAAGACTATACCACTATTGTAATGGTTCAAGCTTCCCGCTAACAGATATTATTTTATTCGGTTTCCGTATTTAAAACACTTTTTAGGGATTGGTTTTGAACACTCCCCTTTCCAACCGATGTAGGATCTCACAACCACATCGGTTGGAGAAAGTAACGAGACCCTTTATAAGGATGTGGAAACTTCTCCAATCGATTGGAGACAGAAACGAGGGAATGTGTGTCAGCGAGAACGCTGGCCCAAAAGGTGGAGGGTAAGATATCACATTAGTTGGAAAGGAGAATGAAACTCCGTTTATAAGAGTGTGGAAACCTCTACCATCGATTGGAGAATGGAATGAGTGCCAACGAGCACGCTGACCTCAAAGGGGGTGGATTGTGAGATCCCACTAGTTAGAGAGGAAAACGAAACACTCTTTATAATGTGTGGAAACCTCTCTTATCGATGGGAGAAGAGAATGAGTGCCAACGAGCACTCTGGGCTCCAAAGGGGTTGATTGTGAGATCCTGGGAAAACGAAACACCTTTACAATGGTGTGGAAACCTTTTTCATCGATTGGAGAAGAGGATGAGTGCCAACGAGCCATCTGGGCTCCAAAGGGGTGTATTATGAGATCCCACTGGGGGAGACACCTTTATAATGGTGTGGAAACCTCTCTCATCGATTGGAGATGATAATGAGTGCCAACGAGCATCCTAAGCTCCAAAGGGGTGGATTGTGAGATCCCACTAGTTGAAGAGTAGAACGAAAAGTCTCAAGGGAATATGGAAAGGGAAAGCCATTAGTGGTGGGCTTTGGACCGTTACAATTATATATGCATCATTTATAGTTGTTTTGCTGACAGAGTTTCATGGAAGGCGTGGCGGGGAACGACAGATTCTCGATGCCAATCCGAGTGTTCGTGCCAGTATTGTACAACGCGAGAAGGGTGTTCACACTGACGGAGTGGCTGCGGGACGAGTTCGCAAAGGAAGACAAGGAGTACAGTGGGTCTGTGCGGCGGCAGATGATCGGAAGAGGGCTTGCGGTGGTGAACATGGCGGTTTGGAGCTTCAATCTGTTTGGGATCTTGTTGCCTTTGTATGTGCCAAAGGCATTGAAGAGATATTACTCGGTCAAAAAATCCAAAGATTGAGAGAGCTTTGTTTGGTTAATTATTCAAAATAACTGTGGTTGATCTGTTCTGGTTTTGTTTTCAGATAGCAATTATGTTTGAATAGTTTGGAGTTTTTGGATTGTAATGGAAGTTCTTAATTAATGTAACTTTCTGGGTTTGCATGGCTGAGATTATGATATCATGTAGAGATTAGTGCACAAGTGATCAAAAGAAAAAGGCCTCATTATTATTATTATTATTATTATTATTTTTTGTAGAAACTTTAAGCTTAAAAATTTAGGGGCGAACCGAACCGAACACGTTTTTCATATATGAAGTTGAAAACGAAGATTAATTTTTATTTTCTCCAAAATTTATATAGAAACTCAGTTGTAATATTGAAATTTAAGAGAAATTATATCAACATTATATTATATTTTTGTTTTGGCCGATAAATATTTTCAGCCAATCATCTTCTGGTTACTTTAATCGAGGTGTTATAATTTTCTATTCTTTCAAAAAAGCATTATCGCTCTATGGGGCGTAGGCCTCCCAAAAGGTAATGGAGGCGTGCAAAGGTTTTCTTAGGCCAGACGGAGATTGGCCCTCGAGTGCAAAGGTAGAAGGGAGCTTGTCTGCAAGATCCACTCGTCGAGCAGGGACGAAAGTCGCCCTTAGTGATCCGACGGTGCCGAGTGGAAGGGTTGTCGCTCAACAGATAAAAGTTACTCTAGGGATAACAGGCTGATCTTCCCCAAGAGCTCACATCTACGGGAAGGTTTGGCACCTCGATGTCGTCTGGGCTGTAGTATGTTCCAAGGGTTGGGCTATTCGCCCATTAAAGCAGTACATGAGCTGGATTCAAAACGTCGTGAGACAGTTCGGTCCATATTCGGTGTGGGCGTTAGAGCATTGAGAGGACCTTTCCCTAGTACGAGAGGACCGGGAAGGCCAAGAAATCCGTCGCTGGTGAGTCATTTCCAGCCCTCTTCTAGTTGCTGGCTAGTCATTTCCAGCCCTCTTCTAGTTCCTTTAATTGGAGTGTTACAATTTTCTATTCTTTAAAAAAAAAAGCATTGTCGATGTCATCTCAATTTGTTTTGGCCTACCAACGGGCCAAGAAATCCGTCACTGGCGAGTCATTTCCAGCCCTCTTCTGATTACTTTAATCGGAGTGCTATAATTTTCTATTATTTCAAACCCATCCGGTCACAGCTCCACCTCATAGACATCTCTAGTGGTCGAGAGAAGCGCTCGTCTGCGAGTGAATATGTATAAAAACAAGTGACAAGTGAGAATTAGTAGAAGTATATGAAAGGAGTATGTTCCCTTGCATTATCACCAAAAACTGATTCACTATTGAATGACAAAATTGGGGTTACAAACGAATGGAAAGAATGATGATACCATTTTTTATGCAACGGACATTAATTTCAACAACAATACATTTAGCCAAAATAAGCATGGCTCAAGTTACAAACAAACAAAATGGAAGAAACCCAAAACAAAAAAAAAAACAAAAAAAGGCTCAAGAAAAAGGGATGAGCCAATTATGCTCTCAGCGATACAGCGCCAGTTTTTCCTCCCCTCGGCTCCCATTCCTTTTATGACTCTCTTTCTCTATCCCCCAAAACAAAAATTTGCATCTTTCTCATGTCATAATAACGCCTATAAAACCTTCCTTCCCCATCCACCATTTTTACACTGAAATCCTGCAAACTCTTGCTTCCTTTCATGTCTCCAACAGTAGCTTCTCCCACAATCCCGCTCATTCAAATCGACTGAGCTACCGTGTTCGTGTACCGGAAAGCAGATCGTCGTCGTCGTCTCTAACTGGCACTACCTACGAACTCTGATAGGAAGACTACTACCTCCTATCAGCACCTGTTCTAGACATATCAAAGAAATGCACCAGTCACTCCAATAGCTCTACTTCAAACCCTTTGAACTTCATGTATGTTCGGAGATCCGTTTCAATAGTAATACGATATTTGGTTAACGAGAAATGTCAGATTTTTAATTCTCGACTAATAACCACCTAATTGAATCTACCAGCAACCAGCATTTTGCAGTTAAAATATGATATTATCGAAGTTTAAGACGATCTCTTCTAAGGACATGAAATAATTTTGACACAAAACTTACTTGTGAATCTGGTTGATGAACCATTGCCATTTAATACGGTCACCAGTTTTCTTTCTTGGCCTAGCGATAGAATTTCTTGCACTCTTTCTGGCCAATCTGAATTCAATCTTCTAGCAAAGTCTTCTACTTCCCTGCATCCAAGAGATTAACTAACTTAAATGGTGACAAAAAGAAGTGGATTTTGAGGACGACCGCAATCAGCTACTACACATACACGCCTGGAAAATATGATTCAGACCGACTTCAATATGGCAGACGACTAATACAAGGAAAATAATAACATATACATCCATTTGAGACATTATGGTTAGTACAAGGGACTGCTGATCATGTAAACAGTCCTTTACCTGATGTGTGTGTAACAGCCCAAGCCCAAACCCACCGCTAGCACATATTGTCTTCTTTGGGAGGGCTTGGGCTGTTATAGTGTGTGTACCGTTGACGAAAGATATTTATGATTCAAAATATTCATGACCAAAGACTTGTCACAACTTCTAAGACATTGTTTTTCCCCTCCCCATGAAATTTGGGAAAGAATGATTTCTTTTCTACAGGCTAGATGGTGTATGGTTTCTAACAGCTTACGTATTTTTCAGTAAACATTTCTTTTTATATGAAACAGATAAAGATGTCTCATTAAAAAAAGAAGCCAGCCAACAAAAACTTTAGGAACACAGGACGAGATGTCCCTTAACCCGACTTAGGATCAAATAGAAGTTCCAATCTAATTTCGAGGTGGAAGTAGAGTAGAAACAAAGTTTGTGTTGCACACTCCAATTAGAGGCTGTGAAACATAAATAATCACATAAAGATTCAAAACAATTCAACTTATCAATGAAAATTCTAGCTTTTTTTTTTTTTTTTTTTTTTTGCATACAAACTACAAACGAGCTTCAGAAGCGTTTAAATTTTGCCCTTGTCCTTGAACCATCATCCTAGAAGAAAGTCCAGAAGCCATCCCCCCAACTTGTTCTTAGTTCAAACACCACACCACACCAAATTGATTACAAATAAAACTCTAGTCCTTGAAGGCAAAGCTACATTCGGAGAGAGTCTCATTCCCATAACAAAACACACATTTGAAAAAGAACTGCAGATTAGGGTTCCTCTTTTTGAACCTGTTAATGCTGCAAAGAGCTACTGACCATCAAAACAGTTGTCTTCTTAGGACAATGACCTTATCGAATCAGATTGCATCAAAGCTTCCTGTAAAGAACATCTGTATCCTGCCCCGTCGTTCATCTCCCAGTCATAAAAGCCTCCTAAGTGTAAGGTTCCAGGCAAGGGAGTTGGAAAATTTAAACACAATTGGCACCCTCGTCCAATACATCCCCCTCCCCCCAACCAAAAAAAGAACCACCACCACCCCAATAATTTTTTCCATAAGCAGATGACACGCGTGACTGAAATTGAGCTCAGTACTAATCCTCAAAGCCTAAAAAAAAATATAATTACCATTTCGCTTCTATCCCACAGAGCCAAATTAGAACAATTCACTCATTAAATAAAGAGAAGAAAACCGGAACGTCACAAATCAGAAATTAAAATCAAATATCACCTAGAACCCTATAGCATATGAGCACGCAGAAGAAGCAAGCACTAAGACGTGAGAAAAAGGTTCAATGTTGTCCACTGTTCAACATTTCCCGACAGTTGAATAAAGTGGGTTGGAAAAAGGGTTCAGTACAACATTCATTTGACATATCTGACCTGTCAAGTTCCTCCTTCATCGCAGGATCTAGATCATCATACATATCAGCATCATCGAACTCGATCTTAGATGAATATATGGAAACTGCTGAATCCTGTGATTTCACAGTTCTACTCGGAGATGCCCCCGAAATCTTGTCAAACTCATTATTCTGGCAACAAGAAGGAAGTGCATCCAACTCCTAAACAATATAAGATTGCAGAATTCAATAATTGGAGCTACTTCTGATGTGAAAAGGGGAACTTTTTAATAGGCCACATATATAGACAAGCCAAATACAAAAAATTATGCACAGATGCAAACCTCTATTTTATCATGGTTCCCATTCTCATTGGTTGAAGAAGAATCCTTCTGTTGATCCTTTCTCCTCCGATTTTTCTTTTTGTTTTTGTTTGCTTTTACTGCCTTTGAATCTGCGTGTGGAATAATAGTGGTTGAATTACAAAGAAAAAATAAGAGACATTTAGCACTGAGAATCTCGAAAGAGTACGGATAAGTAGAAACTTCTCTCCCCATGTTTACAGGTAAATTGTGGCAAATTCTTATATACTGCAAAACCACTTAACATGGACACTAAAATTCAAGATGTGATATTAAGGCTAGAGCATGAAAAGAGGACATCCCAGTAAAAAGTTAAGACAATGAAATGAGACAGAAAGAGCAAGAACGAGTGAACAATTCTCAAGTACCTCCGTCTCCTCCATTTATAAATGACAGAAGGTCATCGACTGATCTATCATCCACCCGCTCCTCGATCTCAACATTCTGAAAGATGTGAAAAATGACGTGCTAAATTGCTATTGGGAGATTAAAATTATATAACACAACTCAAAGTCAGATTAAGTATACTACTCAGAGCCTTGGATAGGGTTAAAAACAAGGATGTGAACAAAATAGCAAAGAGTACAGATTTTTGGGTATTTTAGGCTTTTTTTTTATCGTGTAATTTTCATTTTCTTTATTAGAGAATACCTCACTCTTTCTCCTAATATGTTCTACCGTTATAAATATTTTTTTTCCATTAGTAAAAAGGTAATTCACCTTCAATTTCTCTCTTTCTCTTAATTCTTTCCTTTTCCGTGCATATAATCTATTTAAGAGCCGAATGCGTGGATCATCTGTTATGTTGCGTAAGGGCTCCAACTTTTCTTCCTGTAGAATTTAGTCTGAGTGAGACACTTAAACTGAATATGTGAGTGTGTGAGTTGGTTTTGGGTGTGAGTGTGGGACGCACCTCTGTGAGATCATCAGGTAGGTGAAATGTCTCCCTGATCTCCTCTGGAGTCTTTCCTTCAATAATTCGAGCAAGT